GCCTCGAAATTAAAACAATTGAGCGCCGACGACGACGACGACATCTAATCGTTCACACATCCTCTTCCGCTGCATTTCGATTTCGGTTATTGTTGTTCAAGAGAGCCTCAACGAAGAACAAGAATACATGAAATCGAAAACTATGCAAATTACAATAAGTATAGTGCGCATGCGCGTATGCGTCAAGCATTGGCTTTTGTTTCGCGCTGATGACCTCTGAAAAGATGCTTTGTTTATGAATGCCGGTATTCAAATGTGGTATTTTTAGGCTTTTTTTTATTAGCCCTGCGTATATTCCCACCCTCACCACACACACCCTCATCCCCCGAATTAAAAATCAAAATATATTGCCTGACGTTTTAATAAGTTCGCTGCCATCGTCGTCTTCTACGGCATTTTTTTCTTCGGCTTTTTGGTTTGGTATTGGAGGGTTGCTTATGCATCCACTTTATAATATTACAACGTTGAGATATTGCCACCCCCACCCCACTTTTGAATTACCCGCGAAACAACGCTATAAAACTGTATGACGGGGTATGACATTAGAATATTGCCATACCTCACACCCCTATAGGAGATGTGCACCCCTAAAATATTTTTTACTTTGGAAACAATAAAATTTATCGCTGTAATTTCAAACATTTTAATCGAAAATTTTATAAGGTATTCTCATTAAACTATGCAATGTTATTATTTTTTTGTTGTTGTTTATTTTCATATAGTAATTATTTAATTACGTGTAATTACATGCATTTTGTTTTTTGAAGAGTAAAAAGTTGTGTTGACTTTGATGAGTTATAACGTGAAAACTAAGAATGTTATGAAAATGAAAATTTGAAGACTTATAAGAAATTTTATTGGCTATTAACTTGTAAAATTTCGTTAATTTTGTTTGTTTAAGTTTTTAGTTATTTAATAATTAAGATAGTATTGCATTTGAATTTTTTGCGATTAATGCTAATCAACTTTGTATTTTGAAATACTGTAATTATATAACCAATCTGGCGATTTTGTTCAAAATTAATACATTTGTTGATAATTTAATTATCTTTCAAATAGTGAAAAGTTTAACCTTATATTATTTGTTGTTTACGAATTATTAAACAATTTCTAAAATATTGTATTTTTCAGATTTTTGTTTTGGTACCGACTTTGCAAGCAAATAACTTTTAAACTAATCTATAGATTTTGTTTAAAATTTGGTATTTTATAAATAATTTAATTATCTTTTAAATAATGTAAAGTTAAATCTTCTATCATTTGTTGTTTAGTAATTATTAAACAATTAATAAAATATTACATTTTTCAAATTTTTATTTTTTCACCAAAGTTATCTTCACTTTATAAGCGTATAACTATTAAACTAATTTATCAATTTTGTTTAAATTTTAGTATTTAATACACAATTTAATTATCTTTCAGTGTATAAAAAGTTTATTGTTCTATCTTTTGTAGTTTAAAAATTATTCAACTTTTACCAAAACTTTCAATTTTTTACTGTTTAAAAATCAAAAGAAATCGATTTTGCATTGTATTATTACAAATTCACCCCTTAAAGGGTGTTATACGGGGGGTGGGGATTTGAGTACATGAGCCAATGAAGCCACAAGGCAATTTTCACAGCACGCAAAGACAATAGACTTAAACCGCGTTGTTTTTCGCTCGCAGCACACAACGCCAACATTCGGGGGGTGTATGTGGGTTGTGGGGGTAATATATTTTTTTGATCAAAATTTATACCCCCGGCCGGGCACGTCATATCGTAAATCCACTTTGCATCCTCGCAATCTCTAATGTTCAATGCGCCGCCGCCCGTTTCTCGCTTTCGCGAGGATATGCATATGAGGGGGTTGCCATGTGCGCATACCGCACCCCCATCCCACCGCACATATCGAGGGTGTTATTTTTCGCACTCTTTCGCACCGCCGAACGCGATGAACGGTGTATGAGAGCAAACCGAAAGACGCATATTAATAATCTAAGGGATCGCATCGGTCGGCTTTTATTGTTTAAGGGTGGCCCGCGCCATGAATATATTAATATTAATGGCCGTCCCGACGCGGCGATGCTTATTTTTCATCAATAATTTTATTAAAAATTTAATATACCGCGCGACGCCGACGATAAATATTCGTGTGCACTTTGACGCCCGGATAACCGCCAAATCCGTGGGGGTAGTTTTATGAATTTTGGCAGGTTTATTGACAATTTATTTCTTAATCATTTAATCAAAAAATCAAACCGATTTATTCAATATCTCCGACGTTATTAATAAAAATCTAAAAAATTGTAAATAATTTTTATGCAATTTTAACAATAAATAACTATTAATCCAATCGATAAAATTTATTGAAACATTTTAATTTTACGAGGAATTTAACCCTCTTTTAATCTGTGAAAAGCCTATAAAGATATCATCCCCCAATCAAAAGTTATCGATAAAAATCCAAACGACAAATTTTTAGCATCTCAAGACGCTCGACAAACATCTTAAAAGGGTGGTTAAACACCCTTAAAAAGAGGGTTGCTTATTGAATTACGACGTGGTTAGCGACGAAATTGAATTATAAAAGAAGCGCAAAGTCTCGAACTCGCGTTAAATTTATGAAGCTGTCGATGAATTAGCGTTCAATTGGGCGGAACGCACCGCGCCGGCCGAACGGGTTACTTAAGTGGCGAGCCGGCCGAGGTGAGTGCCGTCGATGACTTAAGTCGATGAGTCGATAGCTCATTGGTCAAGGCTCGAACAATGCGAGCACAGGTAGACGCGGACACGCGCGTCGACGTGCGACCTGACTCAGCGCACATCGCACACATACTCGACGCGCTCAACGCGCCGGACTTACTTAACTCGACTCAGTAATGCTTCACTAGTTGCGCGAACAACTTGTGCGTGTAAAACGTTACTTAAGTCACTTTAGTGCTTTGCATCGATGATTTAACCATGAGGTGATACAAAAATCAATGAAATTTTGTTTCCCTTCTTTAAAGCTTTGCAGTTTGAGAACCACTGCTTCGATTTTGTTGAAATTTTGTACACATGTAACAAATTTATTCGTGTTTATTTGTGCCAAAAATAAATGTTGGCAGTTGATTATTTATTTAGTTATTTCAGATTTAGTCAGATGATGATTTTAAATTTTTTCAAAAATCATTCATTTTCAAATGCTGATAACACAAAAACTACTTATCAGAATTTAATAAAATTTACAAAAATTAAATAGAATTTTATAGTCTATATTTTGACGTTTCAAATTTTACTTTACAACTAATAGTTTTTAAGTTATAAGCAATTATTTAAAAGTTTATATTTTTGTCTGTTTTTCCACCGTTTAAGTCTCCATTTTCCGTTGTTTTATTGTATTGTTTTTAATATTTTTCAAGGTATAATGGTAGAGTGATCCGCCGCGCGAAATCAATCAAATCCCCGAAACCACCACCAAAAAGCGCGCGTGTTTTACAAGCGATTTGATGATTTTGTTGCAAAATGTAAGTGTTTTCCATAACCAATTCATTAACCCCCCAAAAACCAGCCGCTTACTGCCGTTAAAACAAACAAAAATAAAGCTTCTGCACTTACATCAACAACATTGAATCACACGCTTGTCAAAAACACTGATAAACATCCTAAACAAACAAATTGGTGGTGGTTATACAAAAAATTAAAAAAAATCAACAAAAATACATAGTTCTATTTTGCGGCGCCATAGTTTTGGAACCTCTGGTTGGATTTCTTTGAAATTTAGCCTCCTGATGTAGAATTTAATTGGCTTGGATACAACGAAAAAAGTAATGAGTTACGTCGCATGGTTTGCTAATTATTGATGAGAAACCAAAGATTTGTTGGAATCGTACCAAAAAAACATAAAACACAGCGTTGAAACATATTGAAAAGTTAATTAATGCTTGTTTTGCGCGCTCGGCATCACCCGAAAGCTCTTACACACCATCGTAATGAAACCCTCTCCTTGAAGTCCGATGTCTCGTCCGCATTGAGACATCAGAGACAACATCGGGATGTGCATCGAGTCGGTGAAAAACGGCCTTTGATTAGACGAGTCCTCTCTTTGATTTCTTTCGTTTCAATCGCTCCGCAAAGTTAATTAATCCCATGCTTTTATTCATCTCGCGCGCTGCGCTCATTTTCTCCTCTCGGCGCCTAGCGGAGCGGTGAAAAAATAATATTTTGTCATTTATAGATCGAACACTCGAAATAATACTCGAAGCTCTCGCGCGGTTTCGAGTTTCCAGCATTTCGAACATGTGTTTTTTAAATAACCCTCTTGCCGTGCGCGAGTATCGTCTCTTGCGGGCGGACTGCTTGTCCTCGCATACCGGAAACTTAAATCATTTGTCCGTAATACCATCGAAACGCGAACGCTGACTCGCGGAGAGTCATTCGATGCATGAAAAACATTAAAACATTAAAAGATTTATCGCAAGCTATAATTACGCGCTTGTGGTGATGTGGGTACGTGGGGATTTTCTACACATTAATACCCTTTCGTTTTATATTAAAAGAGTATTTTTTTCATAATATTTTTGGCAAAAAATTGCAAATTAAACACAAAAGAGTGAAATTTTTTTTTGAAAAATATGAGTCTTCTTTAAAGCCCCACAGTTTAAGTACCGCTGGTTTAAAAATTACAAAAAAATTAACGCTGATAGACAATTTTTTAAACTTTAATCACATTTTTGAATTTTTGATAAATAATTATTAGTTTATAAGATATTAATTATTTTGTAATGAATTGCAAAATAAAAATTAAAAAATTACGAAAATATTTCATCAACTTTAAACCCCAATAATTACTAAACTATTGATTAAAACTTAACAAAATTTTGCATACTTATAAATAATCTAATCATTAATCATATCCTATAATATTATCATAAAATACCTTTGCGTTAAAAAGTTATCACACTTTTTATAACTCATTGTACTAATTTTACCACAACTGCAAGTTTCCAAGTTAATCTTTTGTTTTTGCTGTTTCTAGAGAGCCACGCTGGCTGAAAAGGAAGTGTCGACGCTCAAGGAGCAGCTCGCCACCGGCCCGTCGGCGAAGGACAGCTCAAGCGCCGCCACCGCTCCTTCGACGCCCACGCACAACAACGAAGCGTACCACAAAGAGATGGAACGCAACGCTTACGAGAATGAAATCGCTGCCAAAGAAAAAGAGGTAAGTCGTGAATCAAAATAAACTGTGTGCGAATTTCGACACGTGCCAAAAGGGTCCTTAAAAAGGGGTGGTTCACGTTCCCTTAAGAGAGGCTTAATTACTGATTTTTCTTAGCAGCTTAGCCGGATGTAAACGAGTTCGCGATCAAAACTCACGGAATCGAATTAAATTGTCGCGAAACTTGTAAGCGGCTTAACGGAAAATTGGAAAACTCAAAGGCAATGAACTTGAAACGATGATTCAGAATAAAATCGAGTATTTCACTAGTTTTATCATCACCGAATTCATCGACGAGTTCATTGTCTTCGGACTGCAATTTGATATCGTCAACAATACACATGTACGAGTATACTATGTTGTGTTTTTTCGCCCGAAGCGGAAACGGAAGTTTTCTTATCGCCACAGCACTTATCGTCGCTTTTGTTATTTTCGTGCGGCGGCCATCGACGCATTTATTGACCGAGCGAAACAAATCGAACACGAACGTATTGAATGCGTATGTTTCTGTTGATAATTCGCGATGTTGACACCAGATAACGCATTATTATGCAGAATCCACTGGGCGTCCATGCGTGCACAATCATTTTTCTTGTTTTGTTTTGTTTCCGCGCGCGAGCGGTGTATTTATACGGCGAAATGCGCGAAACAAAGAAATTTCATTTCGTTTCACTAGGCATGCGTTGCGCTGTTCATTCGCGTATAACTTTGAAACTAATCGGTGGAAATTTGTAAATTTTTAGGTGTGCATAAAGAGTTTATCTGGGTGTAGATGGGTGAAAGATTCAGTCAAAATTTTTGAGTATTATTAAAGTTATTAACAGTTTAGTGAGTTGATGACAAAGTGATGAATTTATGAATTTTCAGTTTATGGGCACGTAACTTTCGAAGTAACAGGCGGAAATGTCTCAAATTTTGTACGCAGATAAAGAATTTATTTGACTATATATGGGCGGAAGATTTATTGTAAAATGTTTATTATTACTAAAGTTATTAATAATTTAGTGACTTGGTGCGCAAGCGTCAACTTGAAATATGATTTATTTCCCTTTTATGTCCATAACGTAAAATTGTTTAAAGATACATTATTGAAATTAACCACGGTTATACACAATTAAATTCTTTATCAAACTGTGAAAACCGTTTGTGTTTATCTCAATTAGTTTAAAAGATATTTGATGTTGAAATTGGACAAAAGTATTTGTCCGCATTTTTGAAAAATGATGTAAAAAATGTATCAAACCGCATCGAAATGCTATTTCTGTTATTGTTCGGTCCTCCGCCCGCCGTCGAGGTGAAATTAAAACTATTTTCGTGCACGCGCTCGTCGGAAAAGCTGTTTTCGAACAAGATCTACCTCTCTATAAAGCACGCGAGCGATTCACCTCGTGTGGGAGTCGCGTCGAACGCGTGCGTCGAGCAGTTTCCTGATTGTTTCCCTACGCACACCGTGGTGCAGGCGGGCAGGCGAGCAGCTTCATTAGATTTGAATTATCGGCGTCGTCGAGCAGGAGATAATAACTAACTTCGCCGTGCTCACTGCTTGCTCACTGCCGCGGCCAAAATAAACAATGCTCGCTCACTTGTGCGACGCGAGTGCGAGTGCTACCACTCTATGCAATACTTAATTATACAGTGTGTTCTGAGCTGCATTAGAGATGCAATTGTCAAATGCGTTGAGTAGGTATGAGATTTGTTGGCTTTTTGGCAGACTGTAAGGTGTACGTCTGGCGCGGTATTTTTTTGCACGTCCAAACACCGACGTGCGGTATTTGTCGTTTTGAGACTTTAATTTGCTGCGCGACGTACTTAAAATAATCGCGAGCGTATCTCTCCTCCTACTTGATGCATTTATTTGCCTTCCTGCTTGCTCCCACTATCGTGAGACTCAGAACCGTGCTACAGACTTAATCTCAACTTTAGAGACGCCCAACTTCTAAAGTTATTGTTGGAATTTTTTGTCATTTACAACATAGATACTGTGATTATCTATCTTTAATATGGTGTATTATTAAAAAAATGTAAATTGTACATTCGTCGCAAAACGAGTTTTAGAAAAAAAGTGATAAAAATGTGAAAACTTCTTTAAATTACAATAATTAAAAACTAATGTATAGATATAAATGAAAATTTGTCACATTATAAAGGACTAAATTATACATCTAGCGATAAAATTTGGGTCAGCTGACCTTATTAGTTTACGAGTAATTAGCAATTAAATAATTATTTTTATATTTTTTGTAAAAATATTTCACTTTTTTTAAACCATAATATCTCCTAACACACTGTATATAACTAAACGAAATTAACAATAATTATACTAGATAATATAATCTTTAAACTGGTCAAAACAGAAATTGTTTATCTCTAATAGTTTGTCCACAATCGCGTCGCAAAGTTGCTGTTACAAATGTAGTTAAATATTTTTCTCTAAATCCACATCTGTTGCTCGGAATACCTTTGCGACACACAAAACGATGAGCAAACAGATCTCGTGCGAGCGTTCGACGCGCTTATAAATTGCTTTCTTTATTGAAATCTATATTTGTATCGACTATTATTATATATTAATGCTCCAAGCGCGCGCTGCCTTCACAGCGTCCACAAAAATACTCCGCATTTCGAAAATTTTTCTGATTTTGGCTGATATTGCATTTAATCACATTTTACATTAACTTTCGTCGCATCATTGCGATTCTCACCGATTTCGACGACATTCAACACAAATATGTCGAGGGGGCACGCCTGCGGTGGGCACGTTAATCGTATTTATAGTATCGAGACGAAAATATCGCCGCCGCACGGGCAAAACACAGGAAAATGTCGAATGTCGAAAACGATTTTTTGACTTGTGGACGCGACGACGATGACCGCAAACCATTTATTGTTTCGGTTAGCCGGCTAATCTTGATTGGTGATTTATTGACGACGTTTCGTAAATATTGCGGTCGATATAATCAATGTCAACTGGCAATTCGCGTTTCAGCAGCGTGATTTTTAATCGGCGATTGTATAATTTCAATAATTAATAAGCGATAAGCCGGCGGGTTATCGTGGCTTCCTTGTGGTCTCGGACTTATTGAACAGTTACGCTAATTAAAATTAGAATTCGATTGATGGAATGAATTTTTATTTAGTTTCACATCGATTCGCACACGAGTTAGTTAAAAATTCGCAAGATTTTTTCGGTAAGTTACTAAATCATCAATAACTTTTAAACTATTTGATCGAATTTAATAAAATTTGGCATGGTTATAGTTAGTTTAATTATATTTCTAAATACAAAAATACAAGGTGTTTCAAATATTATTTTAGCAATTATAACGTTTTTAGTAAAAAAATATTTTTTCTCGAAAATTTATCATAAAATGCTTATAAAACAAAAACTAATTAATTAAAATTTATATAATTTTGTACACGGATGTAAAATAATATCTTTTATTAATGTACAAATTTTCATTTAATTTCATCCAATATTTTGGAAGTTACACACTAAAAACTTAACTAGATTTGGTTTGAAATTCGTTATCGATCCAATTCGCACATTTGCGTCGTGACTACATACAGATAATTAAATAAAATGGCAAAGCCGCGTCGTAATAAGTATCGGCAAATTTATTTTCTCCACTGCGATTCTATTTTAACGAGGGTTAGTCGCGGGGCGCGCAATGGGGAAAGAGAGACATTAAGAAGACAACAACAGCGGCGCGACGTGCGCGCACACGTCTGAATATAATCTAGTTAAAACTGATTTGCATGTTCAATAATAAGAAGGGACTTTTGATGGTGTGTACAGTGTACTACGAGCCAAGCTCCAGCCAGCCCTAAAGCTGCGCGGCACTCGTTTGTTTTCTCTTCGGGTCGCTTCTTTCCCTTTTCGGCTCCTCCGCCATTCGGAAATATTTCATTGTGTTTGAGGTCGCGTAGTTTTAGTACTACTGGTTGTAATTTAATCAAATTTTGTGATCATGTGTAAAATTTATCTGGCTATAAAACTAAAATTAAATCAATGATTTATATTAAAAATTGTTTGAGTTATTAAGAAAAATGTAACGTGATGAATTTTTAGTGTTTAATTTTTTAAATGAATTTTAACATTGAATAACTTTTAAAATATTTAATATTTTTATTGATTTTTTTAACAAATGAAAGAGTATGTATTTGAGTACATGGGGTCAAAATATGAACCGATTTGCATATCAATTGCGGCCGTTGTCCTGCAAAATGGAAACAATTGATTTTTCACTTTCGTTTTACATGCAGGGAAAAAACAAAAGGGTGAAACAACAACTCCAAGGGTGCGATATCTTATCTGAACGTCCAAACCTCGCAACCCCGGGAATTTTAATTGGCATATAAATTTGCACATTAGTCATTTTTAGCATGCCCGGCGCCTCCAAGTGTCGAACAACCCCGGAATCTACACTTTTGTATCCGCAAAATAAAACCCACATCCGGCTAATAAATTCATGTACGACCAGGCGTGCAAAAAAACGAAAACGAAAATAATAAATCTTTTTTTTTGCGTAAATTGATTCAAGGTGAATCCGACTTGGACGTCAGTTACTCCGGTGTGATTCCGGTTTTCGATCAAAAACACGCTCGTGGGGAGATATTATTCCTCACTCGAGCGTAGCGTGCGTGGCGTGTATAGATGTGTGGTCGCAATAAATGATTTAATGAGTTTATACATTTCTTACTCTACAGGGTCATGCGTAAATGCACGCGCACAATATAGACTCGCCGCATTTTATCGGGCGGCAGCCATCCGTGACCTCGCTTATTACGAATCACAATTGATAATTCGATGCCCCCCTCAACTCACCTGTGCGACTTATTACATGGAAATTTGAGCGATTACACGCACGTTATGTGTCTCTTTGCGCCGATTTTCGAAAAATTTTTCACAAAAGACCCATCCAAGCGGTGAAAATTAACCGGTGACTTTGAGCGCGCGTCGCAAGGTCAATTTTGATGAAACTTACCATCATTGTCTAGAATTT